GGTGTCCCCGAAGGCTCCAGCCTTGGAACAAAGACTGGGAGAGAAATGGGCTAGAGTTGCTGTGGAACAGGGGACAAGGCAGGTGCGCAGGGAGAGGAAGCACAAAGCTGGAATGAGTGCTGCCAAGGGGAGCACTCGCCATGGATACCCTAGAGCTGAATTCAGAAAGATCCTAAGCTACTTTCTGGACTCCATTCAAATTAGGAGTCTTTTCTTCAGCTATGAATTTGTCTTTCTCATGCCAGGCTATTGCATGCACACCCAGGACAGGTTTTCCACACCTGATGACTGCCCCATCTCTGGAAGAGATGCTATGGATTATAGCCCATGGGGCAGGCGCTGTCTGCCCTGGTGAACCACAGCGTTATGATGATGGTGGGTGAACTCAGTTCTCTGGGAAGCAAGAGAGTCATACGATGGAAGTAAAAGTGATGGCCTCAAGAGACAAGGCCAGTGGTGGAGTGGAAGGGAGGAGAGAGGCGAAGTGGAGAGGCTAACTGGGAGTCTGGTGCTGCGCTTCACAGCCGATGGTGGGGTCCTGAGCCATGCAATGGAAAAGGAGCAGAGGGAAGAATGCAGGAAGCATTGGTGGGGCCTGGTGATACTGAACAGGAATCAGAGATGCACTGGGATACGCCCATGTAATGTAATGTCCAATACACGACAGCTTAGCCATGGATGGAGCCCTTTCTGTAATCTGACCAGGACAATAGACATAAACTCTACCATCCTGGGCAAATCTGGACACACAAACACCTTGGTCAGAGGTGATGATGTCAACAGAGGACATTGTGAGGCAGGGGGCAGGATGGAAGAAGAGAAGATAATGATCTTGATCTTGGACTTGTTGAGTCTGAGGTGTTTGAAGACAGTCACCTGGAAATAACCAACAGCCCAGCCTCTTCCAAGCATCCCTGGGTGTTTGCTTGGAAATGGTTGTCTCCAACTTGAAGGAGAAGTCAGGGCTAAATACATAGTGACCCGGTGATGCCTCCTAGGAATTCCGATTTCTCAGAAATGCTCATTCTTGTGCAAAATGACATACGGTTAAATGTGCACACTGTGGTGTGGTCTGTTAACACTTGGAAACAATGTAAGGGGCCCTGAATAAGGAATTGGTTCCGTCCATCATGGAGTGCTGCACCAAGTATTTCCACTCATTCTGGGACATCCATACGGACAGCCCTGGAGAATACCTCTATTTTTAGGGAAGAAGGCAAATTGCAAAATGTCATGCCAGGCTATAGCTTTACAATAACTGTTTAAAAACTGTGTGTGTGTTTGCACACAACCATGTAGCAAATACCTAAGAAATGGGGAGATGCACTGACTTGTTAGCAGTTCCCCATGGAGCAAGGAGGAGGACTAGAGGGAAGCAAGCGAGGGAGGCTTCCACTTCTGTGCACTCCTGCGTGTTCCAGAGTTTTATAAACACCGATTCCTAAACGATTTTAAAAATAAGCAACGATGAAAAGGACAGGACAATGTAAAGGGTTTTAAAGACAGACGGAGGAGGAGTGATGGAGTGATCTCATGAAGCTGAGGGTGAAGTTCTGGGAGCCGTGGAAGCAGAGATTAGGGCTGGGACTTGAGACCTCCTTCATAGAGGGGGCATCTAGGAGACAGGAAGCAGGGCGAGGGAAGAAACCCCGCAGTGCACCCCAAGAGGGTGCAAACCATTTCTGACCCCCAAGTTGCGGTGGGGGGGGCGGGATCTCCACTCTGCAAATGAAGCTGCCGGGACCATTCCCTCCAGACCTCAACCCTCCCTTCAGGAGCTTGAGCCCGCACGAGAGCGCAGCTTTGTCCCAGCGTCCCAGGCAGGTCCTAGGTGACCCCAGTTGCTCCAGACTCCATGCCCGCATCTGTCTCCAGTGCCACCCTAGCCCAGAAAGCTTAATCCCAGGCACCACACTCCTCCTCTCTCTCACGATGGTGTCAGAACTCCCAGCTCTTCTCCAGGTGTGGAGAATAATGGCCAGAAATGAATTCCATCTTCTGGAGCCAGCTGTGTGTGTGTGCTGGGACTGGGAGTGTAGGGACGAGGAGGGGAGAAAGCAGTGTGACTCACAGGGCCGCCTCCTGCAGACAGAACCTGACATGTGGGCTGTGGCCCGTTGAGGTGACTCCCTGCCGAGGCTGTCAGCAGGTTTCACCCTGCACTCGCATGCAGCCTAACTCAGGCGTCTCCTGCTCGCTCTCTGGCCTTCTCCCCTTCCCATGCCCTTTCCAGCTCACCCTCTTTCCAGCTTGGTGAGGCTTTCTTCCCCCTCTTCTTTTAACAGAAATATGTGGAGTCAGCTTTTCTGTTGGGGGGCCCTGGCTCCTTCCCAACCACAGCAAATTTTATAGATGATTGGGAGTCCAGGGATGCACACAGTACAAGGGGCAAAGAGACTGCATGTGCAGTGTGTGTGTGTATGTGTGTGTGTGTGTGAGAGAGAGAGAGAGAGAGAGAAAGGGGTGGGGGTGGGGAGAGAGGCAGAGTGAGCCTCTGCATCTGTATCTATGCAGCTGAGTGGTGGGTTGGGTTCAGAGTACGTGTAGACGGGAAGGGAACACAGCTGGCCCTAAACATCATCTTCCTCAGGTCTTGGAAGGTTATAGGACATCGGGATCAGCAGGATCTTTAGAATCTGTCTCACCAGCACCCCCCACCCATTTATAAATGAAAAAAGAGGTTCAGAGCCTGGTCTTCCAGTACACAGCCAGCTGCAGGGTAGCAGGGTTAGAACCCTGGGAGCAGGAGGGGGAGCAAGGCCGCGTCCTTAACTCAGAGACCTGCAGAACAGCTCCTGCGGGGCGCTCAGGGGGACTGTGGGAAGCGCATTGTGGAAGAGCCACGCATGGATTTCAAACGCGTTTTTGCACTAGAATATATTTATCTTTTAATTCCATTTTCCACGGACTTTTTGAAGTGCACAGATTTGACTAACAACTCTGCAGAGAGGTGAGAGAAGCTGCAATCCTCGTGGCCTCAAGCTGACAGAGGACAGGATCTGCATTGACAGCAGCACCTCCTGACCATGGAGGCTGCCTGCGTCCTGATGAGACCTCAACAGCAGCTCTTTCCCGGGAACACCCCAGGTCCAGGGAGCGGCTGGCTAGGAGCGCCCCACATCTGCCTCCTCTCCTTGGCTGCACGTTCCTGACCTTACGCTGAGTGCCCCCTGCCACATCCAGGCACCTAGCCTACAAAATACTTGCTTTCTTCTTATTTATAATCTTTTTAAAAAGTATGAGAGCAACAGCGAGAGAGGGCACTCCCTTGTAATGGTTCACTTCCCGAAGGCCTGCAGCAGCCAGCACCGGACCGAGCCAAAGCCAGGAGCCAGGAACTTAATCCAGTCTCCCACGTGGGTGGCAGGGGCTCAAGCACTTGAGCCATCACCTGGGCCTCCCAGAGGCTGGAACCCAGAGCAGAACTGGGACTCAGAGCCAGCTCCCCACCCCGGGGTGGGGGTGGGGGGCCGTGCTCGCCCCTGCCTTCCCACCCAGACTCTGCTGGCAGCCGCCTCCCAAGGGCTTGCTCCGCTTTTCTGAAGGGAACCCTCTCTCCCACCCACAAAGCTGGCGTTCCCTGTGTTCCGGGTTCTCGGCATCGGGAGTCGCTTGCCTTCTCCGAGAATAACCCGAGAGCCCTTTCTCGTCACTGACTGAAAGAAAAATTGGTCCTTAACAGGAGCTCCAGTCCTCGCCAGCGACAGCAACCGCGGCGCGGTGCCGACCCCTCCACGCCCGCGCTCCGAGTGGCGCGCACGGGCCCAGAGCCGGCCGCGCGCTCGAGCCGCCTCCCCGCCGCCCCGCAGCCCCCAGGAAGCCCGCGGAGAGAGGCTGGCAGGGCCCCGTCCCGCGTTCCCCCACCCTGCGCAGACGCTTCCGCGTTCTCGCTTCGCCCGCTCCGGTCTCCACTCCCCTCCTCCCGCTTTCTCCGCCGCAGACCCCGCAAGCGCGCCAGCGGCAGCGGCATTTGGGGGCCGAGGCGGGAGAGGTTAATTATTGCTCCCCCACCCCCACGTCCCCCCCCTACAAGATGTATCTGACTGTCAGAAGGGGTGACAGATGAAGACAAAGTACAGGTACGGCTCCCTCCCGCGAACCCGGCCCTCCGCGTACCCGCCCGGTGCGGGCGGAGGGGGAGCGCGCCCGGAGCCTTAACCCCTCCGACGCCGGCCCTCTCCGCGCGCCGGCCGCAGTTCCACGCCGGGCCCGCAGCGCGCCGCCCACGGAGCCCAGGAGCCCTGTGTGGCCTCCTCCGGCTCTGCTCCAGGGACCTGGGGTGGAGGGCCGGTGCGAGGCCTGGAGCCGGGGTCAGGAGCAGAGAATGTTACAGGTCTGCAAAAAGGGGTTCCCGGGTAGCCTAGGTAGACTGGGGGCCCAGGACCCCCAGTGAGAAGGGGGAGTCCCAGCGCTCTTCCTCCTCCCACGCCAACAGCTCCCTCACACAAGCCTCGCCCAGGGGCCCTTGTCGGGTTGTGCGCGTGTGTTTGAGTGTGGGATTGTGTGTCCGCACTGTGCGTACCTGTGGTGAGGTTCCTCAGCAGGCCCCAGAGTGCCGGAAACTGCTGGTATGTGTGTGTGTGCGTGTGTGTGCACGTGCACCCTCACGCACAGGGGCTGGGGAGGGGCTGTCTGCGGCCTGCCAGGGGCCTGTGCTATGACCATAATGCATTGTGTTTGTGTGTGTAGGAGAGAGCTGTTCGTGGAAGAGTGTGTCTCCTGGAGAATGTGAGTGTGTACTTGCACTTGAGTGAGAGTCTGTACTGGGGAGTGTGGACATCTTCCGTGGACGCCAGACGTGCACCAGTGTGAGGGACAATGTGGATGTTGTGTGTGAGTGTGGTTGTGTGTGTGGTTCTGTGATTGTGTTTGGTTATGTGTGTGTGCTTGTGTATGGTATGTGTGGTTCTCTGTGTGTGTGGTGTGTGTGTGATTGTGTGTGAATGTGGCTGTGTGTGCGCATGTGGTTGTGTCATTGTGTAAGTGTGGTTGTGTGTGGTGTGTGTGGTTGTATGTGAATGTGGTTGTGTGTGGTTTGCGTGTGGTATGTGTGTGCTTGTGTGTGGTTTTGTGTGAATGTGGTTGTGTGTGAGTGCCATTGTGTAAGTGTGGTTGTATGTGTGTGGTGGTGTGTGATGTGTGAATGTGGTTTGTGGGTGGTTGTGTGTGTGGTTGTGTGTGTCGTTGTGTAAGTGTGGTTGTATGTGTGTGGTGGTGTGTGATGTGTGAATGTGGTTTGTGGGTGGTTGTGTGTGTCGTTGTGTAAGTGTGGTTGTATGTGTGGTGTGTGCGGTGTGTGAATGTGGTTGTGTGTGTGTCGGGTGTGTGAGTGTCATTGTGTACGTGCGGTTGTGTGTGTGTGGTGCTGTGTGTGTACCAGCTGTGACCGCGGCCGCTTCCGCTGGCCGGCACCCCTCTTTCCTGACTGTCCTTTCTCCAGAAGCAAACGAGGTGAAGCAGTTGTTTTTCCAGTTCAACAGCGGAGTGCTCTAATGAAGTCGTCTTTAAAAGGGAAAGGAGGACGATCCGCGTCTCCGCGGTTCAGGGCGGCCCGAGCCCTCCCCAGTTCATCAAAACCGGAGCTCAAATCCAGTCCCTGACCCCCTTCCCCACCTCTGCTGACAGGCAAGGCGCCCCAGAAACCCTCGTTTCAAGTCCCAGCTTCTCCCGGGGACCCCTGGCTTTCCTGCAGCCCGCTCTGCCCAGCCCTGCTCCCAGTCACCAAGGGGCTTGTCTGGCCACAGGAAGCCCCCTTCAGAAGCTTCTTCCGGTCCTGCCTCCTCCCAGGACACGCAGGCCCCCAGCCCTGCTGCCCCTCCCCACGGGTCCCCCGAGCCCCGCAGCTGCTCTGAGCTTTATCTGTCTTCACTGACCCCGCTCAGCACAGTTCCGGCAGCTTCCGCCTGGCCCGTGTCTGTTCCCCATCAAAGGCCCCACTGGAGCGCCAGGTCTTCAGCAGCACAGATAACAGAGATGGATGGAGGTGAGGTGGGGTGCCCCTCCCGCACGCTCGGAGCTGGAGCCCTGGGTTCTGACAGGGGCTCCCGGAGGAGGGCCGGGCTGCCCAAGAAGACTGGAGCTCTCTGCAACCCAGTCCCTGCCCCTCCCCTTCCTGCCTCAGCCCCTCCCCTCTCCTTGAGTCCTCCTCCAGGCAGGCGCCAAGACTGACACACAGCACCTTCCCCACTGCAGCAGGAAGCTCTGCGCTGGGGCTGGGCACCCTGCCCCCACCCTGTGCAGGTCGTCGGTCCTGGAGCAGCAGCTAACACCACCGTTCACCAAGCACCAATTCCATGCCAGACACCTCTCCTCTACGGTCTCGGATTCTGGTCACAGCTCCTGTGGGGGAAGTTTTCTCACTATGTTGCCAAACAGGCCACAGAGGGAGGGCCAGCACTGTCGCCTAGTGGGTTAAGCATCCGCCTGCAGCGCCAGCATCCCATATGGCTGCTCCACTTCCCATCCAGCTCCCTGCTCATGGCCTGGGAAAGCCCAAGTGCTTGGGTCCCTGCACCCCTGTGGGAGACCCGGAAGAAGCCCCTGGCTTCAGCCTCAGTCCTGGCTCACATCTGGGGAGTGAACCAGTGGTTGGAAGACCTCTCTCTATCTCTGTCTTACCCCTCTCTGTAACTCTGCCTCTCAAGTCAATAAATAAATCTTACAAAAGAGAGAGAGAGAGAAACTTGCCCAAGGGGCTGGTATTATGGCGTTTTTTTGTTTTTGTTTTTTGGCAGGCTGGGCAGCCACCTGTAACATTCGCTTCCCACCTCAAAGTGCTGACTGCTCCTATTCCGATCCAGCTCCCTGCTAATGTGCCTGGGGAAAGCAGTGAAAGTGAAAGATGGTGCAAATGCTTGGGTCCCTGCCACCCACCTGGGAAACCTGACTGGAGTTCCTGGCTTCTGGCTTCAGACTGGTCCAGCCCAGGGTCACTTCCCAAATTGCCACAATGGCCAAGGGCTGGGCCAGGCCAAAGCCAGGAGCCAGGCACTTCTTCGGCTCTCTCACGTGGATGCAGGGGTACAAGCACTTAGGCCATCTTCCACTGCTTTCCCAGGCTCATTAGCAGGAAGCAGGATCAGAAGTAGAGCAGCCAGGGCTTGAGCTCAACCTGCTGTGCCACAATGCCGGCCCCTAATAAATAAATAATCTAAAAAAAAAAAAAAAACACCGTGAACTGAGACACAAACCTCACAGCCCCCTTCAACTCGTCCTTGACCTCAGAGCCCCCATAGTGGCTCACACACTGGGAGGGCCAGGGGAGTTGGGGAAGCTGCAGCCAGACTCTGGTGCACATGAGGGTGAGCACTGGGGCCTTCAGCCCTGCTTCTGGTTCCTGGGGGTGGGGGACAGGAGAAGGAATTGTCCGTAGGGTCCTCAGCTTTCACCGGGGGAGGCTGTCCCTCGCTCAGGCTCTTGCCGCAACTCAGAGACCTCGTCTTTCCCAGGGCTCCAGGTCTGGCTGGACACCCTGCAGTCCACCCTGCCCCCTGGGGCTTCCCCCAAGGGGATGGGACAACTCCTGATTGTGGGGCGACACCTGCCACCAAAACAGACTGCCTGACCTGTTCACTCTTTGTAAGGAGGCCTCGGTCAGCCAGATGGCAGAGAGCATGTCAAAGACAAACCCAGGCCGGCACCAGCCTGTGTCTTCATCAGGGACACAGCTCAGGTAGGTGAGGTCTCAACCTTGACAACAGAGGGACTGAAGGAAGGGAAGAGCGGCTGAGGAGGGACAGGAGCCAGGGTGTCAGGCCAGAGAGGGTGAGAGGGAGGGGCAGCCAGACGGTCCTGCCATGCACCCAGGGCGGGCTGTGGCCTTGACTGCATCTGGAAACTGTCTAGCAAGAGCAGGGGAGGCAGCAACGAGCCAGATACTCCTGCCCAGTGCGGCTCCAGGAGTGTGTGGCTGTGTGGGGGTGTTCCCTTGCTCGGACCCCCAGGCTGAGCCGGGCTGGAAGCTGGTAACAGCAGTTGGGCAGACAGCTGGGACAAGGCTTCACAGGGCACTGCTGTTGTGAGCGCTGCCCACCCAGATCGTCCATCGGCGAGTCCGCTGAGACATGCAGCTCACTCCCTCTGCCCCCCAGCACCTCTGGACACAGCCTGAGCAGAGGCGGGGCTAGCGGATGTTGGGCCCCCCAAGGAGAAGGGAAGGCTGGGGGACAGTGAGGGACAACTCCCCCTGAGCTGCTTCTATGCCCCCCTCCAAGCTGCCCTCCTCCCGCCCCCTGGGGCTCTGCCTCTCACCCCCACTCCACCGTGTTCCCTACCTCATTATCCCCTCCAGCCACTTCCCCATCCCAATATCCTCACTCCACTCCCCCTCCTCTGCAGCTGACTACCTCCCAGACCTGGTCCCACTGTCGCCAAGTGTCCCCATCATTGTCTTCAGAGAACCTACTTCTGCCACCAGCCTCCCAGACCCCAAACCCGCCCATGCCCAGCCCTGCACTGAGACCAGATCGTCACTAACAGTGCAACACCATCAGCAGACCTACATAGCTGCTCCCTGCTTGGGAGGAACTCAGCCATGCAGAGGGCTGGGAGAAAAACAAAGATGTTCCAGGAGTTAATAGCTGTGTCTCCAGCTTCTTTCCCACTGCCCTCGGCTGCTGGATGGGAGTTTAAGGCCATAGGACCTATGCCTTTGGTGTCATGTACATGTGCACGTATTCCTGTCAATACACACATGCACAACTAATGTCAGTATGCATGCACTCATACGTGCATCCTAGACTCAGATGTAAGCTCCATGGGAACAGGGCCAATTTTGTCCCGTGGTGGGTGGCCGCTGCATCTACAACAATGCTGATCTGTGACAAGTATTTATAGAAAGGACGACACACAATGGAACACATGCTTGCAAATAAAAGTGTATACACATATATATCAAAATATCCATATGCACAAAGCTTATGTACCATGTACCTAGATATACTTCCACGGGTGTCCAATATATGCACATTGACTACATACACATAGCCTACATATGTAACAGTGCATCTAAACACACATGTAACTTCTATGAACATATGAAAGATATCACATATGTACTTCACATCCATGTACAATAGACTAAAGAATACTAATGGTTAACACCTTTTTAGGCAAACCAGCTCAAGGCCCCTGGCCAGGTCGCTGCCACTACCAGAAACGCCCACCAGATGGCACTCTTTCGCCAGTTCTTGTTGCCAGAGATGTGGCCTCTTTCGGGTCAGGGACAAAACTTGGGGAGCCAGGTGTACCCCAGGCACTCCCTACCAACTCAGCCGGCGTGGAGAGCCTGTCCTCACCCCCAAAGCAATCTTGACTCTCTCCAAAGCCGGGATCCAGGCCCCCAGTCACCTAAGAGCCAGGGGTTGGGCTTGGCGGGGACCCCAACGGTTCAGACCAGCGCGGCTGAGGGACCCTTCTTCGGAGCCTACGTAGGAATGGGCAGCCAGGCAGAGCGGCCCATCCCCACGACGGCCCGGGGAGTCAGAGGCAGGGTGGTTGGGCACAGGCGGGACACTCGCACACCTGTACGCGCGGCCTCGCTGGCTTATCCTCACACCTGCCTGGAGGAATGGCTGACACAGCCTTCGTCCACCAGAGGCGGGGTGCAGAGCCGCTCGCCCTGGAGACCTGGACCCTGGGCCTGGGAGGGGCTCGTCCCGACTAACCCTTCCAGGCAGCGTTTTTAAATCCCGGCGGCGGGGGAGCATGGTGGGACGGAGGCGCCCGCCGGCGGGTCTCGGCTGCTCAGCGTCTGCTCTCCTGGAGCCTCGCACTTGGCGCGTGAGCCACGGAGGACGGGAAAGGCCGGGAAGGCTCGGAAACCCGTGGGGAGGCGAAGCCGAGCATTCCGGCGGCGGCTCGGCTTCCCCCTTCCCCGCCCTCTCCTCCCCAGGGAGCAGCGGGAAATTATTTATTAAAACGCCGCCCGCGCTCTCATTTATTTGCGGTGAATAATCCTCGGCTTCTCAGCGCGTTTATTAAACCTTTCCCGTCCCCGCGCCCGCATTACTTTAATAATAAATCGCGTGTCACTTCCCAGCGACGTTATTAAAGCCGTCCGCGGCGGCAGAGGCGGGGTGCGGGCAGAGCGCGGGCGGCGGGGATTCCTCCCACGCTAGGCTGCAGCGCGGGAAACTGAGGCTGCGCCGCGACACCCTGCAAAGCCTGCCACCGTGATCCAGGACCTGCGTGAGCCTCAGCTCGCGGGGCTTCGGGGCATGGCGGCTCCGCACTGCAGGTGGGCGCGCTACGGTCCAGGAGCCCGCAGGGGGCGCCTTCCAGCCCAGCCAGGCATGGATTCCCTGCGTGATGGAGCCGCACAGACCCCCGTTACCCCTCGGCGTGGACCAACCTTTCTCTGGTCCCCACGTCCAACAGCACGCCCCCCCTCCCCCGTCCACACTGTCCCTGCTCCTGCTGCTGTGGTCGCTTTGGAATCCGTTCCAGGACACAGCCCCCTCGCGCTGTGGTGCGCGCCTCTTGGGTTCGGCAGTAGAACCGGCGCCTGGAGCGGGGGCCCGGGACAGGGCGGCAGCAGAGGGAGGAGGAGGGAGGGGCGGCTAAGCCCCGCGGTTGGAGTTCCCTACCACTCCCCTCCCGAGAGGCCGGGCTCCCTGCCTCGGGCCCCCCAGAGGACAGACGCAGACGCTGAGCCCAAAGCAGTTCCTCCCGCGGTGGCGCCAGGCTCCGGGCGGGGCCCAGGCGCGTAGGAGGCCGTCGCCATTCGTACACGGATTCTTGGCCTCGCTGCCTTAATGCTTTCACTCTCCCCTTCAATCATTCAGCGAACGCTGCGCCTCGCCAATGTTCCTGGGCTACGTAAGGAAGACGCGGCGAGAGATTTGGGGGTACCAAAGGGTGCAGTTCTGTGCAAGCCAGGGACGACAGGTCACAATTGGGGCAGAGAGGAAGCAAGACTCACGCTGGCTTCGGGCTCACTGGAGAAGTGGGTGTGACCCACACAGGTGGCCAGGCTTCTCCCCTCCCCTATCCAGTTTATGCCTCCAAATGGGGGTCCTACCCGCATAGACCTGGGCCCCCGCTCTGCCTGGGGAGGACGGCAGGAGGGCAAGCAGGTTTTCTATCTCCATACCAACCCCAACGGAGGACAGTGCAAAGGATACCACTCCCCCCATCCCACCCCAGGGGCAGGGGCCAGAGCTGCAGCCCCTCCCTGTGCACCTGGCCAGCATGTACACGGAGAGCAGGACCTGAAGCTTCTGGAAACCAGAGTCCTGTTGGCTTGGGAGGGCCCCCAGGGATGTGCGGTCTTCAGGTGCACATCTGTGTGAACAGTCGGTGCAGACGCGTGGCTCTGTGTGTTTATAAATCTTTATTGGTGCTTCCTGTGCCCAGCCCTGTGCTAGGCTGTGTCCAGTACAGAGTGGTGTAAGATGTGCAGCTGGCTTGGTGCTAACCTAAGCCACGCTCCCCTGTGCTCTCTGGCACGACAGATGGCCAGCAGCAAAGCAATTGCAGTTAGTAAGGGAGAGAGGGAAACCTGTGGAAGGTGAAATTTGAGCTAAGGGAAACTGAGGTTAAGCAAAGGAAAGTAAGGAACCAGGACCTCTCTCCCTACCCTCCTGTGACTTGTCTCTCCCTTACCATCGCCTCCATGATTGCTCGTCCTAAGAGCCTTGGAGCAATGCACGAGGGGACCCTGCCTG